TTGCAATATTGATAGCAGCCTTATTGTCACAACAAAGTGACTTGGGACTGTCAACTGTAAATCCCAGTTCTTCCAACAATTTCTTTATCCACAAAATTTCGGCCACCCCATGGGATATAGCCATGTACTTCACTTCCATACTAGGTTTCCTCCCACAAAGGTGCAAATATCCTTGGTGGATTCCTTATCATCTACTAACCCAACCTAGTCAACATCTATATACACCTCCACCTTCAAAATGCTCATGCTTCTGGAACAACAAACCTGCCCTTAGAAACTTCTTAAGGTACCTGAGAATCTTCTCAACTTCCATGTGAGTGGCCTTGGGGGCATACATGAATTGATTAAATTCTAGTCATAGATAAATATAGAAGTCTTCCCACAAGCCTTTAAAACTATTTCACATCATTTATGGTCTCTCCATGATATTCACCTAACATGTGATTTGGATCAATGGGAACATCAACTAGATTTACTCCTAGCTTACCTGTGTCCTGTAATAGATCTAGGATTATTTCCTTTGAGAAATGAAGATCCCTTTTGTGGGTAGGCAATTTCAATTCCAATTAAATACCTTAAGGGACCTAGATCTTTCACCTCAAACTGAGTGGCCAAGAACTTCTTCAACTTCTAAATTTCACTTTTCTAATCTCTAATGGATACTATGTCATCAACATATACTATCAAAGCTACAATTTTACCTTCTCCCCTCTTTATAAACAAAGTATGGCCAGACTGATATTGCTTAAAATTGATATGTTATATAGCTTGATGGAACCTATTGAGCCAAGCCTTTAGTGATTGCTTTAGGCCATACAAGGACTTCCTCAACTTGCACACTTTCTACTCATTGCCTTTGGCACAAAAACCAAGAGGTTGAATCATATACACCTCCACTTCTAGATCACTGTTCAAGAAGGCATTCTTGATATCCAACTCGTGAAGATCCCAATCAAAATTAGTTGCCAATGAGAGGAGGATCCTAATGGAGTTCATCTTAGCTACTAGGACAAGTGTCTCTACATAATCCACTCCATACACCTGTGTAAATCCCTTTGCCACCAATTGGGCTTTATACCTTTCCACTATGCCATCAACCCTATGTTTCATTGGAAATACCCACTTACCTCTTATTGGTTTTTTCCTTCTAGAAGATCCATAAACTCCCATGTACCATTTTTATATAAAGCACTAATGTCTTCCTTCATTACATTTGCTCATTCAGGTATAAACAAAGCCTCAACCACATTCTTAGGGATAGGAACATTGTCAATGGAAGAAAAAAAGGCATGAAAAGAATGTGAGATGTTCTCAAAGGGAACAAAATGGGAAATGGGATGTTTAGTAGTATAGGACCTTATACCCTTTCTTTTTTGCAATAGGGATGTCCAAGTCATCAATAGCAAAATCATCTATATCAATGGGGTTGGACATATCAAGGGGAATAATGGTACCTGGCTAAGAAGGATCTACCCCTAGAGAATATGAATGATGTAGGTGGTACAACGTCAAGTTACTCCATGGCTCTTGAACTCGGTTGGCCCTTGTGGTGACAAAGAAAAACACGGAACGGTAGAGGATCTAGAAGAGGAGGAAGTTGAACCTAAACATATTTCTCCTTAACCTTACTCTCTCCCTGAGGAGAAATAGGAAAAAAAAAAGGCTCACTCTCAAAGAATGACATATCCATAGAAACATAGTACTTTTTGGAGATAGGATTAAAATACCAGTACCCCTTTTGAGAAAGGATAACCCAGGAAAACACAAGGAATAGCACAAGGGTCAAATTTACCACGAGTGGGAGACAAGTCATGAACAAAGAAACGACAACCAAATACACGCATAAGAACAGAAAACAAGGGGACTTTGGGAAATAGGAGTTGATGTGGGGCCTTGTACTCCAACAACCAAGATGGCATAGGGTTAATGAGGTAAACAGCAGACAAAACAACATCCATTTAGAAACGTTTAGGACCATTCATGTTTAGTAACAATCCACGAGCAACCTTAAGGAGATGGTAGTTTTTTTCTTTCTACAATGCCATTTTGTTGGGGTGTTTTGACACAAGAACTATGGTGAAGGGATCCAAACAAAGAAAAAAGTTCGGTGAGATCACTACGGAAACTCTTTTGCATTCTTAGACTAGAAAATTTGAATTTTAGTCTAAAACTATGTAAATATCATACATTGAAAATATTTCACAATTTTTGGTACTTTGTCCCTAGAATGCATTGGATACACATACATATTTGGAATGGTCATCAATAAGTGTAATAAAGTACTTGTAACCAGAATGAACAATATGGAAATGAAATTCAGCTTTATTATTTATTGAATGAAAAGGATTTCTACAACATTTGCTCAACTGACACATTTGACATTTTAATTCAGACATGGACATTGACTTAAATAATTCTAAAAACGAAATTTTTAAAGACTCAAAAGACAAACGACCAAGACAACTGTGTCATAAATAAACCTGACTCTTACTAGGCTGAATTATAGACTATGCTACTACAAGATCAGTTTTATTCTCCAACACATAGAGACTATCAACTATACTACCTTTACCTATCATCTCTCGAGTCAAATCTTATATCACACAAGAGGAAGGAAAAAAAAATGTTAGAGAGCAATTCAACGAATTGGTAATGCTACTAATGGAGAACATGCTTATAGGAAGTTTTGGAACATGCAATACATTGGAAAGGGTAAGGGCAAAAGGGAGAGAGATGGTTCCTTGACAAGCTAGGTGGAGAATGAGCCATCAACTAGTCTCATCTTATCCCTCCTAGGAAATAGGTTATAGGATTGAAATAAATTGGACTTACCCATCATGTGGTTTGGGGCTCCATAATCGATTATCTAGGGGAGTTCTGAAGTAGGAGAAAATACATGGAAGGCTATGGCAGAGTTACTTAGTGTAGATGCAGAGGAGGTCGAGGGGGAAGTGCCAGAATCCATCTAATGGTGTGCCTTACCATACAACTCTAAATGGTCATGGAATGAATTGATGATATCTTCCTTGATTGAAACCAGAAGAATGTTCTTGGTTCATAGGGGAGCCAGAAGTCTGATTCTCCTATGAAGCCATGGTTGCAAAATTATACTTCTTTTGGATCTGCTTACCTGGCTTCTTATTTTGTTCTTATGCTGACTTCTTATTTAACTCCTGAGCCCACTTAGGCTTCCCATGGAGATCCCAACAGATCTCTCTAGTGTGTCTGGATCACTGACAATGAGTGCACTAGAGTTTGTCCTTGTCATCGACCCTCTTCCGGAAATCACCCTTCTTAAAAGAACTCCCTCCATTTGCGTTTGTACCTCCCCTGGCTGCCAAAGCAATTGGCTCCTCCTCTGAACTATCCATCCCATTTCTTCTACTCTCTTTTGACTATACTAAGGCATAGACCTCCTGGATTGAAGGGAGATCCTTCCCAAAATTTGCACCCTTATAGATTCATACATAGGTGGCATAGACCTCCTGCTAAGAGGCAAGAGATTTGTAGGCTTTTGCATCCTTGTCACATTTCCAATCCCTACTTTGATAATGATCCAACTCCTTCCAAATTGATGTCAAATCTGAGTAAGACATTGAGAGACTCCTTTCCCCTTGCTTACAAGTGGATGATTCAGCTTGCAATTGGTATATCTTTGCATAGTTCTGCTGCTCTGAATAGGTAGATTTGGCTTGTTCCTAATATCAGCCCACATGAAGTTCTTTCTCACCAATGGTACCATAGAAACTAGAAGCCACGATATCACCATACTATTCCCTCGGTCCCATTTGTCATGTTCGGCACTTCCAGACTTTGTCTCCCTATCTTTCCCCTTCCAGTAATGTAAAGCTTAATTCCCTTAGACCACTCAAGGTAGTTAAGTGCATCTAAGGGAATAATAATCATAGGGAAATTCATATCCAGCCCCCCACTCGGTCCATTTTGGTTTGAGGAAACACCAGAAATTGCAGACTCTTTAAAGAACATGATAAACTTTACTGTTCAACTTTAAACACACTTGATGGGGGCACACAAGAACCATTTTTTTAACACAGACCGGCACTAAGAAAAAACAAGGACTGCAGTCCACATAAACCACTCCACAGTCTGAACACAAACAGCATTACTAAACCAAATATAGCAACAATATTAAGCAACTCCAGAACCAAACAAGAGTGTTTTCAAGTCTAAACAGATCTAATAACCACAGTCCAGCCGAACTCTAGGCCACTTGATCACCCCAATCACAAAAGAAAGTATACTACTGCTACCACACCAAAAAACAGGTCATACCAGACCTACAAACAGCTCATACCTGGACGCAAAGGACTACACAATCCACATACAGGGATTGTAAAACTGCTAAACCCCCTCACAGCATTCAGTCGCCTCAGTCTTAGAGATTTTTCTTGGCACACAAGCAACAGGAGGAGAAAACTCAGAGAAGGGGAACAAAACTTCTCCTAGACCAGTCGCAAATGAGTTTCTTGAATCCCAATCTAAAAAAAAAAAGCAAGAAAAGAACATTTGATAAATTTGTTCTCAGGCCCAGTACTTGTACCATATCATCAGCAGAGAATGAAGAGAAAGGGAGGAAGAAGAGAGAAGAGAGAAAAAGAATGAGAGTCAAAAAGGTGGGTTGGCAGCACCAGCCAATTTATTTATAATAGGGTGACCTAACAATTAATAAAAAAATAAGGTACAATGACAAAAAAGCAGAGAGTGAAGAGAAAGGGAGAAAGAAGAGAGAAGAGAGGAGAAAAAGAATGAGAGTCAAAAAGGTGGGTTGGCAGCACCAGCCAATTTATTTATAATAGGGTGACCCAACAAATAAAAAATAAGATACAATGACAAAAAAGCCCCTGGGCCTAAGTAATAAGAACTGTTAACAGTTAACATTTTGTTCTGTATTTTGTTCGTTACACAGTTGATGTACTTATATTGCTATCAAAAGCACTCTGTTTTCATAGTTGCTTGATTTTTGAAAAATAATTGTGCAGGAAGCAATGCTTAAGGCTGAGCTACGGGACATGGAAAGAATGAAGAAGAGGGAAGGGGTAGATATGACATATCTAAAAAATGTTATCTTAAAACTTCTTGAAACAGGTACGCATGTAAAAGGTTATATTTGTAACAATTGTGAAAATGGAGGTTTTTTACTGTATTTTCTTTCCTTCAGATAGCTTAAATCTTCAAGGGTTTAAGAATAGCTTACCTTGATAAATTTTGTAAACAGGTGAAGTTGAGGCTCTGCTACCTGTAATAGGAATGCTACTTCAGTTCAGCCCTGAAGAGGTGATGTTTACACCTCTGTATTAAGTTCTACCATGTAGTTATGGAATTCTGGAGGTGTACCTTATCCATACCTGCCATTATTATCTCATTGATGTTTACACTTCAGTATGCTGATGCCAAAAGTGCAGTAGTAAGGCCAGCCTAGCTGTCTCAAACATTGCATTTGTTATGGGCCCGGGCGTAGGAATGCATCCACAACAGCATTGTTATGCATGACTAGCATACATAATTTCAGTATTCCATTGTACCTTCGTACAACTTTAACCAAGAATGAATTTATCATATTGCTTTGCTTGCCTGCAATATTTGTCCGATAATCTTTTGAAAACCCGGCCCATCTGTCCAACTGATTTGACAGCAGATTGGTGGGTGTACAGAATCTCTGTTTGTAAGTGTATTATGAAAATTATTTTCTTAGTAACCTTCTGTCAGTTCTCTCCCTTCATGCATGTAGTGGCGCCTGCAGGTCCAGAAGTGTCAACAAGCTTATCGGTCCTCAACTGATATGCCACCAAGCCCTGCAAGTGATGCTACATCCTCCAGTCTCTCACTCTTTTCTAGATTCTCATTTTCATAGCAGCAAGGACAGGCTACAAAATGTTTTCCTTGGGAACTAGTACAATACAGTGGCACTTCAGACACAGAGACATTGTCCAAGCACCTACCAATTAAGAAGCAAGGTAGGTTTATGGTAAAACTTAGGTAAGTGTGCTCATGCAGTAGAAATTTTTGGAGATCTCGGTTCCTATCTTGAAACTTTGATCCCGTTGGTGCTGTATTTTTTGTAACTTAGAGCTGTATTCATGAAAAGATCAGATGTTGTAAAGAACTAATAAAGAAAGATGTGGATAACATGTTCGATACCTAACTTGGAGAAAGGGGGGGAGAAAGAGTAAGCAATATAGTCAATTTCATCATTTTTTTCTTAAATTGTTAGTCAAATTATTCATTTGTTTGAATTCACTAAACCAGTTTGATGCCTCTGTTAAGGCCATCAAAAAGGATACACAGGTGAGGACGAGTTTACTAGATAAACTATGTGAAGTAACCAAAATCTCACTTGTTGTAATGAAGAAACTTATCTATGAAGTTAACTAGATGAACCATATAAGAGACTTGAAATCTTGTTACAATGTAGAAAATCTCTGAGGCAGCTGTGAGGAACTTAATCCTCTCTGTGGCAACCTAATTGCTACCATGCGTTCATGAGTAAAAAAGAGGGCAAATTATAACAGAGGCAACATGCAAATGCTGAGTCGAGCCATTACAAACAACAGAATGTCACTAGGGGGTACTTGCACACTACAGAGAGTTCCATCAAATGCCAGTCTGGCCTGCTATTTTGCAAGAATTTTTAATTTTTTTTTACACCCACTAAGGTTCTGTTTGGTACCATTGCTGTTTCTATCTGAAATGCTTTGGGTTGATGTCACTGTTTCCATCTGAGATGCTTTGGGTTGATGAATATAAATTAACATGCAACTGTAATTTGAGGCTGTTTATAGTTGTTTTTTACATGTTGAATGGCTGTTTGTAGGAATGCCAATTTGACTTTTCAGGTAGAAACACCAATGGTACCAAATATTTTTTTTTTTTTGATAGATAATGGTACCAAATATTATGTAAATGTAATATTACACATTTACACCCTTAACCTTTTAAAGATAAAGATCATTAGCCAATATTGGTATCAACAGACTTAAACCTTTGGCTTCACAGACGCGAATGTCACTCTTATTACCGTAGCGTCAAGCCGTTTAGTCCCATTTGCTTGAGTTAGCAATGATCGAGAATAGTCATATTGCTTTGCGAATATGATTAAAGGGCTTCCAAGTCTCTACCCTTGAAGTTGACTGTCTTGTCTACCCAGAATTAAAAAAAAAAAGATGGACTGTCTTGCGCTTTTGATTCGCCCATCCTTTCGTTTTCCCAAGCTCAGTTGATAAGTGCTGGAAGTTGTCATCCCTTGGACAGTTAGACTTATAGAAAGGTCTACTATAATTACAGTTTACTCGTACTCTTACTTCCATTGAATGAGCCATGAGAAGACCCTCTTCTGGTCTGTCATATATTCTAGAATGCTAATAGATGTATATGGTTCTATATACATAACATTCAGATACTGCAAATTCCAAATTGAATAAGATTTGAATACAGGCGACGGTTAATAAAAACTAATGCAGCGTTTGGTTGCAATTTAAATAAATTTACACTGATGCAAAATTATGGCAGTGAAAATGGTTTAATTGTAAACTCTGACCTATTTTTATTTCAAAATTTAGCTTATTTTGTTTGACTGCAGTGCAAATAAAGTAAATTAAGATATGAAGCATAATAAAGTAAAACTCAAAAAACAAAATTAAGTGAAAATTTACATTTTTTTCATTTGCACTCCAATGCATTTGTATTAGTACAAATAAAATTGTACTGCAACCAAACACAGCCTAAAGTAACAATACCAGTGTTCGGACGCTTTTTTTTCTTGCTGGAGATCGGGGTTCAATGTCCTTCGCCCTATTTTTTTCTGAAAAGGAATACCCTATGCTTTTGACAGGGTTCAAAACAAACAAATCATTTCATATGCCTGGTTATCCAAACTAATTATTCTTGTGTTGAGGGAAAAAATTTGACTCCAACCTCGTGTCAATTCTTAGGTACTTCTGCTTTGCCAATTCCAAACTTTAGTTTTTTTTGGAATTTTTTGAATGTTAGATGAGATGGCTTCTAAACTTGTCTAGTCTACCCCTTGAAAGTGGCTAAATTCCAAAACATCCATTATTTAGGGTTTCAGGGAACGACCGAAATGATATGATACGTCTAACATCAAGCCTATCGAATTTTTGAACCTTGAAAGCCCCTAGACCAATTGGAGCAAAATAAGGCTGTGCTTGGAAAACCAGGTATTTACTTTTGGTTACACGCACCACCCAATTGAAATGGCAAATTTATTAAGAATTTGAAATGAGAAGGCATTTTGCAATTGAGATCGGCTTCGGTCAGAGAAAAGGCTATGATGGCGGTTCCAATGGACTTTGCTCTGACTGAATCCTGTTTCTTTGCAACCATGGCGATAGGTCACATCAGCACAGACATAAAATGGATTTGCGATATCTTTCCTTCCGTTTTTTTTTTTTTTTTTCTTATTCACACAAATTAGAATCAAAATGCGCCTTGTATATTCTTGATTTTTATGGGATTATAATTGATGCTTAGAAGAAAACAAAAACACAAAAGGAGAGTAACAAAACACACACAAAACCCAAATTAAAATTCCGTTGCCGGGACTCGAACCCGGGTCTCTCGGGTGAGAGCCGAGTATCCTAACCAACTAGACTACAACGGATTGATGCTTATGTGTATTTCAGGTTCTATTTATCATATGAAATCCATCTGTCGAAACAATAGCCACCCCCCAACCGAATTTTAATCAAGTTTCGAAAGAAATCTAGAAGGCGTGTGACGCGAGGTAGATTTACTTATGGCCTGTTTGGGTATTGCGATTGGGATGAAAAAATGGGAATACTCCCATTAATATTCATTTTCATTTGTTTGTTTTATGAGACGGACTGAAAAATCACATGACGCGACCTCCCAAAACTCGGAATGCGAGATCGCGCTGAAATGGTGCCACCCCGGTGAGAAAGGAAACAATGAAAAAATATATCGTGATCACTTTGGTTGTTTGTTTGTTTGAGTGTCTCGTCTTTCTTCCACACTCCAAGCTTTCACGTCCTCCCGGTTAGAACTCTGATCACTTTGGCCGTAATCAGAACAACATTCTACTTGTGATATTGGTTCATTTAAGCCCTCTTTTTCGTATTTTCGATATGATATTTTTTCTCTCTCAATCCAATGTTTACCCCCTTTTGACAGATCTCCAGCCATTTTTGTTGTTGTTTCCGGCAATGATTCATCTGGCACAACACCCATTGGTTTGGGCATATTTTTATGCTCAGTTTTTCTTTGTTTTTTGTTGTCGTTTTAGGGCACTAGCAATATCTGGTCGCCCCTGTTCTGAACGCCATTGATTCCGACGGTATCGTAGATGGGGTTTCCTTCTGAAAGAGTTTTTAAAAAAACATTAGAATGTTGTTGGAGCCGAAGCAAATACAGGCCCTGAAATTGCATGAGTGGAGGCTGTATATTCTGGGATGTTGCAGTAGAGTTGCCGCAAAGAATATTGCAAATGCAAGCCCCCAAACTTCTAGCCGTATCTCAAGGTATTGAAGATTGAATTGCTTCTTGGTGGCTTCTTCTTCGTAAATGTTAACAGTTACTCTTCTCAATTAACAAACACTGAGAACTTGATTTTCCCACATATTTTGAGTAACAAATCAAACACAGGACACCCCAATGAGAAAATAAATTTTCTGTTTCTCATCGCATCCCTTTCCATCCTTTCCTTTCTCAGTAATTTTCTTGGAAACCAAAGAGGCCATAGGCCACTTGTCAGAAAAACATGAGAAGAGGTCCACGTGTCTATCGTATAGGGAGTGTGTTTGTAACCATATCTTAATCAATAAAAGGGAAAATCCGTGTTGCCGAAAACGCATGATACATCAATAAATTATGTATATCATAATCTTTGATTTTAGCATTTTAATTAAGGAATAAAATAATATGAGGATAACCGCATTTGTCGGGACTATATGAAACGTATCATCAATTCAAGAGTTTAATCAAAGTCTGTTTTTCTATTCTCCTCTTTTTTGAATCTTCGATTCGATTGGGTAATGGTAATCTTACTCTCTGTAGCTGGTTTCTTTCTTTGGTCTAAATATCTATTGTCTGTTTTTTCCGAATGTCCGCTTTGTGTAGAAAGAAAGAGATGGTAGCATCAACATCAATTTCAGGTATAACACTTGCCCACCATGATTTTTTTTTTTTGTTCGATGCTCTGCACAATTCATGAAAACCTGTGGCTGGTTTTCCTCGAAATCTGATATTTATGTTGTCACAATCCGAGCGACTGATCGTGTTCTTGGATTTGTTCATTGTATTTCGGCGTCTTGTAAGATATTTTCATTGCATGGTGCTTTGGGATAAGAATGTGATGTCGAATCCGGAGCAACTTGCAGAATTGATATTCATCCTTGTTGATGGCTTCCAGGTAATTCTGATTTTCTAATAATTTTTAACTTTCGAACAGAGGGAGATTGATTTGATGGGTTATCGGTCCCTGTCTTCTATTTCGAATAAACCGATTTGGTGCAGAAATAAGGCAATAAGCTTGTCTGTGTTTCCTTTGTCGTGGATTAGAATTATCTTCTGGAACCAACGTGGTTTATATTTTAGCCCTTACCAAACTAATATGCTTGAATCTGAGCTTTTCGTCTAGTTTGGGATCAGTTGAGAAGAAAATTTGTTTATCAAGGAAAAATGGGTGGCAAGAAACAGAAGAAGTTCCTCACAGTAGCACCCTTTGAGTGTGCTTGGAGAAAGGAGTTGAGATTCAGGGTAGCTGGACGGGGTTGTGTCGCTTTTGAAGCTTTCGCTCACAACGATGTCACGGTTGTGTTCAGAGAGCATGTTGGTAGCCAACACTATCACTACAAAACGGATAATAGCCCAAATTACACCGTAGTTTTGGGCAGCCACAGGAACCGTAGGTTGAAGATTGAGGTAGATGGGAAGACCGTGGTGGATGTGGCCGGCGTTGGACTCTGCTGTTCTTCAGCTTTTCGGAGCTATTGGATAAGTATTTATGATGGTTTGATTAGTATTGGCAAGGGTCCTTTCCCGTTTCAAAACCCTGTCTTCCAGTGGCTTGATTCAAATCCCAACTGCAAAGTCCAATATGTCGGGCTCAGCAGCTGGGACAAGCATGTAGGGTACAGAAACGTCAATGTGTTGCCACTGACGCAGAATCACATATCCCTCTGGAAGCAGCTGGATTATGATGAAGGTGAAGGGGAAGAGGATAACCAAGAGGAGTTGGAAGATGGATATGGAGGTTACGAGGAGTGGGGGCTTGAAAATTTTCTCGAGAGCTGGGATTTGTCAGATATGTTCTTTGTGGTTGGTATGGAGGAAAAGGCAGTCCCTGCACACAAGGTTATTTTGGAAACTTCTGGTAATTTCCATTTTTCTTTGTCGGATGAAGGGGTCATCCATCTTCCAGGAGTACCCTATCCAATCCTCCATGCTCTTCTTCAGTACATCTACACCGGCCAGACCCAGGTGAGTTCATGTTTTCCTATTTTTATGAACCTACAATTCACTTCTTCCTAATTTCCTATAGATAAGTTAGCGAAGGTTATAGCAAGGTTCAGAAGCCTATTCTTCTGGAGCCAAGTCAGATATGTCTTGGTTATGTGGCTGTGATTATATTTTGGGTATTCACCCATAACCATATCCGAAGTGAATACTTATATTCTGTTTGGTAGAAAACAATATTGTTTTCTTTGAAAGTAATAGAGCATGTGATGTAGGATAGTTGGTCAGAAGCAACCAATTTGATGATTTAATCCATCCAAATCTTTACCCTGTGGGTTTCTTTTGATCTTTTTAAGCGTTCGTTTTAACCATCCAAAGAAATGCGATGGGTCAGATAACACTCAACCAACCAGGCTAATGTCTAACTAGCACCAGCGCATCACAAATCTTCTAGGTGGGGACCTATTGAGTTAAAAGTCCAAAATGCATGTGTGCCACATTTCCTGAGGTTCTATTTACAGCATGTGGTTATGATCTGTCATACTTGCACTGTAAACATACACTCCTTAAGTCTGCTTGGCTCAAAGTGATTGAGGTTTTGAGTCTTTTGACCCCTGGCAAGATGACTGTTAAAAACTGGACTTGATAGCTGAGAATTATGATCATAGTGGATCCCAAGTTAAAGTTGATTCTGTACTGCTAATATATAGATATTTGATTCCAATTTCTAATTATATTCCTATCTAAAAATGGTGTAGGTTCTGGAGTCACAGCTTGCTTCATTAAGGGATCTGAGCTTACAATTTGAAGTCATATCATTATTTAAGCAGTGTGAAGAGATGATTGAACGCTTTAAGCTGAACAAAAAATTATTTGACTCGGGTAAGAAAGTTGAGATTTCACATCCAAGTTCCAGGCCTCAGCATTGTACGGTCTTCCCATCTGAACTCCCCATCAATGTTCAAAAGCTCAAGCAAGTATTTTCAACTGGCAAGTACAGCGATGTGGACATCTATATTGATAGGCATGGTCTTGTTGCCTGTTCACATAAACTCATCCTCAGTTTATGGAGTACCCCATTTATGAAGGTAATCAAGATATATTTCTTCTTTAACGAACCCTGAAAGAGGATCATTAGCGGCACAAGTTTCATTCTCATTCTGGATACATCATACACCAGACGTCTGGACTATTATGCCAATCTGAATGGATTCCTATAAAATGTTCCTGATGTCTGGTACAAGATGCACCTGTAAGAAATGAAAAGAACAAACTTTCACCAGCACTGTTATCCCATAGTCCAAAATTCCTAGATAAGAATTCAATATAAAACAATTGATTGCAGTTTGCATGAGACAACAAGAACAGGCCATGACCTACCAAGTGAACTTTATTTATGCTATCTATCAGGTGCATGCAGAATACTAGGGAACTAAGATGTATAAAGGATAATAGGATGTAAGATCTTTGGTTAGAATTTTCTTAAATATCCTTTTTATTTTATTTATTTATTTATTTTTTTTTTTGGGGGGGGGTTACAATAAAGCAGTGTTTAGGCCATGTATGCATTCATGTGCGCAAACAAAGTTTGCAAACAGATACACAGTGACAGGAAGGTGTTTCTTCAGAGGAAAGCATAAAATGCTTAAGGATAAGATGGTGCACCAAATATGGCAATAGATAGTTTATTTTCCAGATTGTTGGCCATATATGCCAACATGGTGGCCAGAATCAAGAATCATTATGTATCCATCTTCAGCATTCAATAGAGAGCCTGTTGCTTTCAATCAATAGATCAGTCATCCTTTTTTTTTCCTTATGTCACATTTATACCTGTTGTTGATTAGAGAAATTGCTACAATGACAACAGATGTTCACTAATGGAATGAGTGAGAGCAGTTCTTCAGAAATCTGCTTAAAGGATGTCTTACCAGAAGCTTTCACAGCTATGCTCCAATTCATGTATAGTGGAGAAGTTGATGTGAATGATGCCATGGACAAGTGTAGCTTGTTGCTCCAGCTTCTGCTATTGGCAGATCAATTTGGGGTTATGCCCCTTCATCAGGAATGCTGCAAGATCCTCTTGGAATGCCTCTCTGAGGTATTTTCCATCTAATTTCACGAGGCAATTTTATTAGGAATACATGATATTCTTTTCTGTCTTAAATAGTTTAGTTTGTAATTCATGTGAGTAATGGGTACACTTTTAAAAGAATGGGCAAATGAAGCAGTTCTGTATAGAGGACTTCCTTGCTTTCTTCAGACTTCCGAAAACAAAAGAAGAGACCCTTAGATGGTGAAGAATTATAAGATATTGATACTTCTCATCTACATACATATGCAGGGTTGGAGTTCTACTGGAAGAAGCCCATACGAGAGTTTTTTGTATAATTCACAAGTTTAATGGACCAGGCAGCAGAAGGTTTTGGGAAATTTGTAGGGTTAATACCTTTTAAACTAACTATTTGAAAATTTCTTTCAGGATTCAGTGTGCACCATTCTTCAAGTGATCTCAATGATTCCATCCTGTAAACTGATTGAAGAAACTTGTGAGAGGAAATTCTCAATGCACTTCGATTATTGTACTACTGCCAGCACTGGCTTTGTGTTGTTGGACGAGGAAACATTCAAAAACATTCTTCAGGTAAGTTTCCTCTATTCAAGTTATGCATTGATATAATTGTTGAGCTCCAGGATTTAAAGTGTCAGTGAACAAACATCAACACCCTGAGAGCAGTATGGCTCATTCAGTTAATTGTACCAGGAATTTTGATACACAAGGTGCAATGTATTGTGAAAACTTTTCATCAAAAAATCATACAAAGAAAAGGTCAGAAATGTTATAGTGAAAGATGGCTGAAGTGAAACATCATTAGTTAAGGTCCCCAGCTAGGAGATTTGGTTGTACTAGCCAGACTATTTTGGGTTATTTGATGTCTTGAGTTACCATTACCCCTTTCTAACTCTCCCTTATTCCTTATTTCCTAATTTTCCTTATAATGAAATATTGTAATTTATGAGATTGTTTACCAAGATATGTCAGTAAAATGCATATATTAATCATATACTACTTGTTGGTTGCAGCACCCTGATTTAACTGTAACGTCTGAAGAAAAAGTTCTCGATGCCATCTTATTGTGGTGCTTGCAAGCAAAGGAACAATGTGGGTGGGAAACAGCTGATGATCTATTGAAATCTTCAACTCCTGAACTTATTTTTGGACAGAGGCTTCAATCAGTCAATGACCTGTTGCCCTTAGTGCGCTTCCCTTTAATGCCGTTGCTCTTGCTTAGGAAGGTATAAATTGTGTGTATCGAAGTATATTTGGCATGTCATTTATGAGCTGGCATGCATAACCAAGATCTGGTACATATTTGACGGTGTTGCAGCTGGAAAAGAGCAATCTTGCCAGAAAAGTTGCTGTATTTGAACATCTTGTAAGAGAAACTCTCTTTTTGCTTTCTTCATTCTTTCCCATTTTCTTCTTGGATGATTTATCTGCATGATGTTACAGGTGATGGAGGCTGTAAATTATTCAGATTTTGGAGTAACAATCTCAGGAAATGATCAGAAGTAAGCATTTATTAACTTTACCTTTCAATCTGAACCATCCAGGATTTTTCATTTCTTCTGTTAAAATGCTCTTTCATGCTTTGGAACTTCACATGCAAAATGCTTGGCAGGACCCATGACAAAAGAAAATTGTAAATTTAATGATTCACCATGATATATAATTACAATTATGTCAAGGGAAATAATTCCATTATCCATGACTCTACTATGTGCTTTACAATCCAGACGAATTAGACCATTAGAATTGACTTGATGTAGCATCATATAGGGACAGAAGAACTTTGACCACATGAATATCCACCATGGTACAGTAGAGGAAGAACAAAAGTATCAGAAATCATAATTTGCATAAAGCATCTTCGCTACTTACTGATCTCAAAAATTAAAATGTTGCTTATAGCAATAATTCATATGGAACAAAATGCCTTCCAAATATTGAAATTGTTCCCTGTTGAAATTTTTCTTTTTCTTCTGTTAATAAAATGTATAATACAGCCTTTGTTGATAAGTCAGCCACAGAATACAACAAGCCCGTAATAACACTGCATGGTTCTATCATTCAAAAATTCAAATAAAGAGAACATGTTTTGTTTTCTAGAGTTCTTAATCAGTATGTGTTATAGCTAATTCAGTTTGCTCTCATAGTGTAAGGTTTCAGCATAGGCGATCTAGTTTTAAGGAGCTCCAGTACATATGCGACGGGGACAACAATGGAGTCATTTACTTTGCAGGAACATCATATGGGGAACATCAATGGGTCAATCCTGTTCTAGCACAGGTAAAGCATTCTCACTTGATATAGCACTCTGCGTGTTAAATGGAAGTTGTCATATTAATCACCTCTCTGAATTTCGACATTACAGAAAATTACAGTGACTGCTAGTAGCCCTGCTTCAAGATACACTGACCCTAAGGTTTTAGTATCAAGGACATATCAGGTACGGTGATTAGTCTCTTGAGAAGATTATGTTACACTGACTTTTGAGCTTATCTGTATGATAATTGAATTAACCTTGGCTTGTTTTAGGCAACTTCTTTCGCAGGGCCTCGAATGGAGGATGGAAAGAATTGTGCATGGTGGATGGTTGACCTTGGCCAGGATCACCAGGTTCTGTCTCTGGCCTCTAGCATCCCAAATTTTGATTTATTCCCTTTGGAATTGGAAGCTTCTTATTTGACACTGTTTGACATGCTTATGAAGATTACCTGCAAATCATAAAGGCCAAATACAATGAAAACCCTGAACAAAGAAGGGTATTATACCTTCCATTTGTTAATTTTAGTTTCATGCAGTCTGCATTTGATAGCGTGGGAACTACTATCCAGTGAGTCTCACTGAGAGACTGTCCTATGCCAAATCATGTTGAAAATGGATAAGAATAAACATTTGAAGACCTGTGACTTTATTGGATAGCTGGTAAATGACTAGCGGCTCAAATACGTTTGTTAGTGGTGTTAGTGAAGGGGTATTTTGGTCTTTGCACTTGTTGAGAATGTTGATGTGTACTGTTATGTTAGTTCGAGTGCCTCTTACTTAAATAAGGGCACTTAAGTCTTTTCCAATAAGTTAATAATATAATAACARATCTGGCCGAATCTAGGGATAACTTTTTCTCTAATTCGAACCAGACCTTCTCTCTTTTCTCTCTTCTTCTTTCCTCTCCTACTTCTACTTCTTGCTGTTCACTTTACTTTACAGTCAACGAACAAGACAGAATTCTAGGGCAGGTCGAACCTCAACAACGTTCAGGAATCATAGAGAAATGATCATTAACGCGAATGGTTGCATCTTTCACTTGAAAGGTTTTCTAGAAAAGAGTCATATTTCACATGGTGGATGACCACAGTGAATACCTGACTTAAGATCATAGTCAACCAGAAATAATCCTCATTGGGAAAGAAATAAATTCCTGAACTGAGTGACAGTCCCAGGCTTTCTTGCTCTCTTCTTTCTCCTCCTTGGTCTTTCGTAGTGTATACTCTCCAGTTCCTTGGGAATTGGGATTGGCAGGAAGAACTCATTGGTTTTGTAGAAGTGCCACAACATCTGAACCAACAAACTGCTACTATAGCTATTGCAAATGGTATAATGACTTAAACGAGTCATTGGAAGGTCAACCAAGATAATTCCTGATTTTTCCTGGGCTTATGATGTCAGACAATTGGCCACTTTAGCGGTGCTTCCCATTGTGGTTGTTTCCTGTTTCTTCATGGCAGATTTTGCCATCATTGTCAGCAACAAATATCCATCACAGAATGGAGAAATGCATACTGCAATCGAAGTTTTTGGTTTCAAATTATGGCAACTGGAGAGTGAATACTCGGAATTGGGAAAATAAAAGCATTAACTTCAGAAATTGAAAAACAAATTGTCATCTCAGTGCGCCCACTTTCTATCTAATTTGTTCAAGTTTTGCTCACATATTGCCTTACATGATATGTGGGATCCAATCCTGAAAATGAAAATCAATTAAGGTTAAAGAACAACTTTTTGTTCTTTTCATATTGTGAAAATGGTGAAAACAAATTAATTACATTGGTCCCGTTTTTTTGACAAAACTGCCTAAAGAAAAACGAATGCATTGGCAAATACCACTTTAGAGTTCTAGCTTTTGATCAATACCCTTCCTCTGTAGGTATTTAGACTGACCTGCTTGGATCATTAGGGAGGCTGTTGATGCTGCATGATTAAATAAACTGCATTCTTTCATCTCCATCTTTCTAAGTTCTCAATATCCCAAAAGTTTGATCAAATTGAACAAGGGTGGTAGATGTAATGAGATCTGATATCTTAACCTTTTAAAATGACATCAGCTCAATTCAAGAAAGTAGTAGTCCAGCTATGTGGAATAGGTTACATGAATAGCCTGCAATTCATTAAATTTATTGTCTTTCTACAAGTCCATAACTACTCTATAACCTAGATGACTCCATCTACTACCTTAATTGAGTTCTGCACATTTATCCCGAGGGTTATTGATAATCTTTGTAAATATAATCATGTGGTTTTGGTTGATACAGCTGATGTGCAACTGCTACACCTTGAGACAGGATGGTTCAAATGTATACATGAGATGTTGGGCTCTTCAGGTAAATCAAAATTTTGTCCTATTTACTCTGCATCTCGTAGGAAAATATGACGAAAGACCAAATTGAGAAAGCTTTCTGAACTATTTCAGGGTTCTTTGGACGGAAGAAATTGGACTGACCTGAAAGTACACGGAAATGATCAGACAATATGCAAGCCTGGTCAGTTTGCCTCATGGCCTGTGCAAGGTCCTGCTGCAGTGCTTCCATTCAGATTTTTCAGAGTTATCTTGACAGGTCCCACCACTAGCAATTCGAGCCCCTGGAATCTTTCCATTTGCTTCCTGGAATTGTACGGTTATTTTCACTAATATAACTGGAAAAAAAAAATGCGTCTGATCTGTGTAAATGATGGCAGACTTGTTACTACTCTGTCCTTTGAACTCGTACGTCTATCCTCCCTTTGATATGTATAGTTTATTTTTTCACTTGTAAGGTAAACCGAAAGATTAGGCTCAGTCACATGTGTTCTCAAAATGTACCCAACTTTTTTGTCTGTTTCTTGTTTTATCCTGTATATACAGGTGTAAGAGTAACTATTGCTGGAAATATGCGGTAAAGATGGCAAGTATCAATACTAGCTTTATCATTCACAGGGGTGGGTTTGTTTTAGCAACATCACATCTATAATCTTAGCAAATAATACCAAAACTTATCATTTTAATTACTTAAGAAACTCTTTACATCGATTTTCTTTATTTCTAAAGTGATGCTCACAAAGTCAAAAATCGTTCTTAGGACTATTTGTTCGCAGTGCAAATCTGAACTGGATATAAATTTTGCACCAGCTCAGTTTTGCATCGGTTTTTTTTTTTTAGGTAAAAATATTCGTTTGTCATTATGATCTATATACTCTTCATACAAAATTTATACTTTTTTGTCTCATTTGTACTCATTAGCAGTGCAAATCTTGCATCTCAAAAATTGATGTAAAATTTGCACCACCTTCCTCCTACCTCAATTCCGGATCCACATCATATTGATTCCTACCTCACTCCTAAGTATATAACCCTTTTATCTTTATTCTTTTTCATATAAAGTGAAACCCTCGTATTTTGTTGCTCATGCATTTATACCACTGCAAATGAATTTTGCACTGAAAACTAACTCAACAGAAGCATTTCGGGCGGAAAGGACCAAGTAGGCGCAAGTTTTCTTTGGAGGAAAGAGGATCTTAGTAAATATGAATTTTTTATTACTAATTTTTCGTAAAACTTCAAGATTGACATCCTCTATTTTCAAGTGATCATCACCGCTATCCACCACCAATTGTTGTCATTCTCTTGAGTACAATAAAATGGACACCTTTAAATTAATTATTTTTTATTTTTTACAAATTGTAAACAGTGGATATTTGTTTTCGGGTTTTAGATTTTTTTCTTCATCAGCATTGGTCTCTTAGTAGACAATTTCTACTATTTGAAATCAAAGATCATAATTTGCATTTTGTTATTAGAATCCCTGTAAAGAGAATAGTACCCACAAACTGTTCCCACACAATCATACCCACAGGAAACTAGGGGTATCAATTGGACTGGATTTGGTCCAATCTGATTCAGTCCAATGTAAGTCCATTACAAATGGACCAGGTCCATCCAATTTACTGAATATTATGGACCTGTCCAGTTCAATGTCTGGACGGTCCAATCTGTTTAGATTTGTTTTAATTTAGATTGATTTTAATCCAAACCTGGTCCATTGACACCTATATTCTTATCTTCTATTAATGGACCAGGTTTTGGCTCAATCCAACCCAATCCCATATAAATTCATTTTGGATGGACCAGGTCTAATCCAATCTGATAAATATTTTGGACCATTAAATCTGGTCTGATCTAATTCAATGTCTTGTTGGTTCATCCAATCCATCCAAATTGATTTTGGTTTGGATGGAGTTCAATCCAAAACTGGTGGAGTTCAATCCAAAACTGGTCCACCTCTACAGGAAACTACAGGTGGGCATTGAGAATGTGGGATGATTGTGTGCATATTCATAACATCTTGATAGAACAGTATTAGACTTATACACGTTATGGGAATGTGGGATGATTTTTGGCCAAATCAGCCCGCAGTGAGTGATGGGTATTTAACGGACTGGGATTTGGTACAAACATAGGCATGTGCAATGGACTACGTAACTAATTAAAAGCGAATATGCCAGTGATCTGTGCATTTGGTGCCATATATTTATTCTTGATTGGTTGGGTAACCTGTTGAACGTATCTTTTATTGTAGAAAATCTGAAGGGCCATTTAAACAGCATAAACAAATAAATGCATCCTCTTTCTAAACTATCTTTCTACGCTTATAACAAGAGAAACAATGATTTTGGGGCTCTATTATAAAAGTAGAAAACAAAGCCATTTACATTGGTGAACATCCCCTAAATTCAAGCGTATCATTGGAATATGATAAAACTTTAAAATGATTATTTAACAAAAATAAATTAAAAAAATTAAGGATAAAATAATCATGCTAATATTCAACATTTTAAAACAAGTAAATTATCTATATCCATAAGTTTTTTTTTTTCATTTTTTATGAATGAATCAGTGTTGGGGCAAAAAAGAATAGGGTGCCAAAGGCCACTGATCATATCAAAGAAAACTATTTTTTCGATATTCGACGCTACGCACCATTAAGAATTTCCCCCTGACCCCTTTTTCTCCAATGTGCTGATTGCAGGATTTAATTCCACATCAATACTGGAACAAACACAGCTAACACACCAACGAGTCAACCCTCGGTTGGTATATCAAAGAAAACTCATGTAATCACAGATTTGATCCCACACACCTTTTAAATAGAGGGGTGCCATGTGACTGGGGTTGATCCATATACCCTTGTCGAATATGAAACTACGGGCTGTTTTTTGTTAGAAGAGACAGAATTAGGACATAAATATGTATTTTACCAACTCTCTATCAATAATAAAATATTAATAAAAGCATTGTCATTTATAAACATTAAATACAGTTTTATCCATCTAATTTTTATTGGAACCTGTTTTCAAATTGTTTTTTTATAATCTTTTTTTCAATTTGTCATTCCTGCTTACTATAGTTTTAAGTGATTTAACACTTTTTTCAATTTGTTTTTTGCAATTTTTATGCATTTTTTACATGAAATTAATAATAACAAATTTAAAAACTAATTATTTCAATAATAAACTACCAAGACGAGCATCTCGGTTTATTTTCACAAACAAGTTGATTGCCACTCTTTCTAGACCTAACAAAAACAAATAATCAAAGATTGCTTACACCATTACCAACACACCTTGGAATAACCAAGAAATTAAATCCAATCCCAAGTTATTCAGTTCTGCATAGTTCCATCTGCACATCCTGAACCAGAAGTGACACCATTATAACTATTAGCTCAGCTCAGAGAGAGAGAGAGAGAGAAAGAGACCTGTATTTGGAGAAATGGATGAAGCTGTGGAGATAAAGAAGGGCAGACACAATACCCAATACTCAAAATCCAGTCCCTATGACCCAATTCATAAAAAGACTGAATTCAAAAATCACTCTTCCCCCGGCTTTTACAAATATATCAGTTTTTCCGAACATAAGGCTGATATACATTATATATACCCAACTTGCACCCAAAATAGATCTTGTTTATTTATCCCTTTGCTTAGCCAATGCATTTGTCATTGCATTGGCTATTCTTGCTACCCAATTAAAATTACAATACAAATCCCTTTACAGCCTTTATCTCCCTCACGATGCTTCAGTATTGTGATTTCACTAAGCTATCACTTCCTAGCCAACCCAACAGCAAGACAACATTAGTTCAACTAATAGATGATAGATTTATGAACAAATTGAAACAAAAAAATGACACAAAATAACTTATAACAACTAGAGTGTTTAATGATTTTATCACTTTTTACCAGTTAATGATTTTATCACCTCTAATATTCCTGCCTTGTTATGTTTCTGGTCTGTTTTTTCCAATAAAGATTTCTGATTTATCACCATAGAATGTGGAACTTGAACATCTAGCCCTCCCTCCCATCACTCAACAACTGAAATTGCACTCATCATATGCCAATTTAAAACTGTTGGATTAAAATATCATGAAAATTAGTATGAACTAAAATATCATGAAAATTGAATTTTGAATTAAAGTATATTTGAACTTCAGTTCTCTGCACTCTAGATTTAGTTAATGTATTGTTTTAATTTTTTTTTTTGAATGCAATTTATTTATACGCTACTTTTTTTGTGCTACTAGTCCAAATTGGCCAATTTTTTTGGGCCAAAAGTAAAGCATAGAAAGTAGAAAACCATGGAGATGAAATAAAATATCATGATATTTTGAATTAAAGTTAGTATGAACTAAAATATCATGATATACGCTACTTTTTTTGTGCTATTAGTCCAAATTGGCCAATTTTTTTGGGCCAAAAGTAAAGCATAGAAAGTAGAAAACCATGGAGCTGAAATAAAATATCATGATATTTTGAATTAAAGTTAGTATGAACTAAAATATCATGAAAATTAGTATGAACTAAAATTATCATGAAAACTGCATTTTGAATTAAACTTAAGCTCAGAATTGTGCCATATCTTGATTTTTGAATTAATGTTATCTAATGTTGGTCATTCCTCAATTTCTTTTCTTTTCCCCTTTAGATATATTATCTATTAGATTAAGCCCATATAAACATGGGTTAGAAACAAATCCTATAAACAGAGCAGATATGTCAGTCTATAGAGGGCACTTATAACTCTAATGATGAATCTCATTAGCAACCATTCCCTTTTTGCAATGTTAATATTAACCTTTAATTATTGAAAATTTTGGACTCATCTCTTTCATATTTTTGGCCCCATGTGACAGTGGGTCATCTGATTTCTGCATATTGAACACAATTTATATGATTTAGGCTCTTTAACCCTTTGCTCTAGAGTGGTGGCAACACAAAATTTTCAATAAAAATACATTGAAGTTTCTTTCTAATTCCATTCAACATTTTGTTTGATCCATAAAAATACATTGAAGTTTCTGTATATCACACAATTGTCTTGTTTTTCATTTCTTTCCCATATACAAGTTAAACATTCACATGGTTCATACAAGTTATTGTAATTACCTGCACGTGGTAGTTTCTTAACCTTTTGTTAATTTATTTGCCTCCTTGTACATATACAACTACAGTCACAAACTAAATATAGATGCATCAATTGTGGTACCTGTTTATACTTTTTGCATACTTTTATATATTCACATTTACATTATATATTAAGTGGAATCATTAATCATGTTTTAAGTTAATTCTATTTTCTTAATCTTACAAGTCCTGCTCAATTAAGATTAAAGAAATTGAAGTTTAGTTTCATTTTGGGTCAAAGCTTCAATAATCAAACAAATTGATGCTAACACAGCCAATTAAGAATCAACCTAAGTGACCACACCCAACTTAGTAAGTTCTATACCTGGTTATGATTAATCATTCACTGGTTTAAATTCCCTATGCATCACATGGGTCATTCTACTAGTATTATAAAAAATGAGCATGGCTTATTTGGTCGACAGACCCTGATTTCCTCTTTCCAATCCCACCCCTCCTTTTCATGACCATAA